AAAATGACCTTAGAAAATAGAAATCAAGTTATCCATAACATTTTTTCCCTATTACCCTACCTCAAATCATGAGCATTTCAGCTGTTCTTAAGCTAGAAGTCTAGACTGAAAGAAAAAAAAACAAAACAACAAAAAGATGAGGGAGAACAGTATGACAAAGATTCATACTCAGGCAGGCAGATAAATAGGTATCACGGCTTTTAACACTTAAGTTTACCAACTACAGAACATGGGCTTAAGGCTCATCTAAATTTTGTTTCCGAGTCCTGTCAACATGGACATCAAAACTACCCAGCAAGCCCTAGCTTCAGCTGTGACACTTGGGTAACCTTGCGATTTTAAAAGGTTTAAGGGAAGAAACCAAAAATGACTACAACAAAAATCCTAAAACAAAACAACCAAACCCCATAGCTATCACTGAAGTTCATCTACTGCTCTGTAACACCCATGTTCATTTGTGGAAATCCATTAAAGAGCTGGAAGCAGAAGTGTAGTGACAGCTCACTGCCAACCTACAGCATCCAAAAGGTTTCTGAAGCACTGCAATATAACAAGACAGATGAACAGCCTTGAGAATCCTCCTTTCACTGCCCAAGCCAGGAAATCCCAATGCCTTTTCTCCTAAATGACTAAATTCATAGGGAGAGCTGAAGGAAATTCCTTCACAAAGCACACTATAGCTGTACAGATCTGTTTTACAAAATAAAGAGGTAAATAAGTTCTATATTATAAAAGCAAAAAAGTTTCCCAGGCTTTTCTGCCTTCTTTTTTTTTTTTTAGAAAAATACCCCGTATTGCTCACTGACACTTTTTCCAGAAGTTTCACTACTATCATGATCTTATGATAGAGAAGACAGACACAATTCTTTATCTTTCTCACTTCCAAAGAATCATTAAAGCAGGAATTTGAAGAAACAGTCCCCAAAACCAATATTTAAAAAATAGGTGGTGGCTCTTAGCTGGTTCAGCAACTTACAGATTTATTTATGGAAGTCCATGCTAAGTTACTGAACTTGAAAATGTATCCAAAAAGCAAGCATCTGGTTTCCATCTCCACATGGGAATCAGGAAAGGGCTTTAACTGGAAAATAAAATACTGGGGTGCAAAGGAGCAAGATGTCAGTGAGGGAGGGACACATCCAAAGAAAAATTCCCTATATAACGCATTTTATGCTTCGAAACTCAAACTATCAAGAAGCTAAAGTTGCATGTTACAGGAAGAAAAAACACATCCCAGATTTTTAAGCCATATCTAACATGAAAAAATGAGCAAATAACACACCAAAATTATATTTTTATGACACAATTTAAAAATTATAACCTTCACAATAGACAGTGAGACTTGTTTACGGAACCACTTAATTCTGGAGACATATACCTGAAAATACTTGCCAACACAGGCAAATGTTAGGCACCTACTACTGTACATAGCTGGCAAGCACAATTTTATCTATTTGTATTTAAGCAAGCTCCAAGCAAAGCAGATTTGCAATTGTGACAGCTGTAATTCTGGTTCCTTCCAAGTGCAGAGAACAATTCCATACTTAAAAACAAACCCAACAGGCGATATTGCCTTACACAGGAAAAAAGGCAGCTTTTATTCTCCCTTCAAATATTTTGCCAACATTCATTTACAAGTTACAAAACATCTAAATTGGTTTTCCACAAGAGGTACGTGCACATCTGCCTCCATAAATATACTGCTTTAAACCTGTAAGTTAAGCTTTTGAAGGCATTGCTTTAACTATCCCTTCCCACCCCCCAGGCAAGCTACTTCTTGCCCTTTCTTTTGTTTCTCTCAATTATTTTTCCACTTGGCACATAAAGAATAGAGGAAGTCAAGTGAAAGCCTGACCAACAGTGCAAAAGCACATGAAGTTAAAATCTTTTAATAAGGAAGCTGATCATAAGGAATTTCCTCTCCCGCCTTTGCCACATAGAGTCATGAAGTTTCCTCCATACCTTTTAAAAGCCAAAGTGTCACCTCAGATGGGACCCACTCACGTTTACTGGCTCAGTAAACCCCAGGGCATATCACTCCTTTTCTACCAACTAGCATTTGGATCCTCAAAACACACACCAAAAAAAAACCCAATAAAAAGCCAGAGCAAGACCCTGTTTCTTTTTCAAATAACTCCTGATTACTTTGGTAAGCCTCTTCCTAGCAAACGGCAGAGCCAGCCTCGTCTCTGACATGCTAGTGGTATATCCAGACATTGTTCTCCATATTGCCATTATCTTCAGATTACACTTACATCTGCACCATTACATTAATTTCCACATATTCTACATGAATCTGTGTCAAATCATAACTGAGCAAGAGTAAAGCAGTTATCCATAGATGAGTGCACAGTACTTACAATTTATCATGAATAAAGGTCACTCAGTGCCACCACCAAAAACGCACCTAACTGAACTCAAGAAATGCAATTTTTTCCCCTATGACTAATTTAATCAAACTGAGTTCTTTCACATCTTGATAAAACATGGACACACTCACAGTGCAAAAGCAATTAGCTCAAGCCATAATGCTCTTCCAATTTTCTTGGACTTCAAAGTAACACCTCTAATCGACTGATCACTATGTTCCTTCAAAGGAGCAGCAAAGTAGGGCAGTATCTAAGAATTTATGTACTCTTTCAAGACTAACCTCAACATTCTTGCATTGTAGTTCAAACTATCATTAGTCTGTGTGGAAGTAGATAAAAGCTCAGAGAAGTGTAAAAACCTCTAAATATAATTAAAATTAGTAAAAACAAAATTAGATGCATCTTAGATATTTCTGTCTATGGCACCAAGTCATATTTTGAAGGCAATGTTGTTTCACATTGACAGCATCTCTTTAATCTTGCATGATAACAATAACAGCTCAAAATATTTTATTTAGTTTGGTTTGGTTTTGGGGGAAGAGTCAGGAACAGAAGAATATAATTATAGAGATCCTTCCGTATTAAATGGCTTATCTTGCCACCCTGTTTATACTTGCAAGCCATCCTTCCCATGAGCATTCAGCATCTGTAGTTAGCATAACTACAGTCCAGTCTGACTCCACAAGGCACTTTCTTCCAGGCTATAAAGAACAAATAAACAATTTAAGCCAATCTCCTGCTAACCAGCAGTCAGACCAAGGAAGTTTTCACAGGCAGAGGAGCCTGGAAAGCACTGTCTGGGGCTTTGGTTTCATGGGATCTGGGCAGGATTAGAAACAGCTGAGACCATGGGACTGCAGACTGGTAGAGTGACAAGAGAGGACATCTGTCCCACCCCCAGATGCTGGGACCAAGGCTTTTCCTTTGATCTCTGCTAGTCTGATCCTGACTTAGCCTTCAGCTGTCAGGTAGCAGACACTGGTGAGTCAGATGCTCTGCTGGGTAGGAAGGGTGAGAACAGGAGGGGAGCGGGCTAACTCATGATTAATTCAGTTTTCAAACCACTCATCTGTGCACCCAACCAGAAGCAGCCGCAGACAAGCCATTGCCTGACCGGGACACACCTGCTATTCCTTTCCTTTATCTGATATTAACCCTGCCCATCAATTCTGGTGATGGGAGGAAAGTAGGGCAAACTCCTACACTGCCTGCTGGGGTGACTCAGTGGCCTCTTGGAAAGTGCATTTCTAAATGACCTGCCTGTCTCGTTGGGAGATAGAAAAGCAAGTGACACACTACATACAGCTCATGATTCTTCTGATGAGCTGGTATAATACCTCTGTTTCATCAAGAAACTTTCCATGCAAACTTTACAAGTTTCACTCGAGAAGATGCCCTAGGCATGAACCACGCCACGAGATGCTCCTTTCCTCAGAAGTGAAACAAAGGGAATCCTTTATTAGGAGTAGCTAAGGGACAACAGGAAAAACAAGAAACAACAAGCAGGGTTCACCTGTAGCCTCTTAGAAAAGAAAGCACTTGCACAGCCATTCAACTACACATCATGCACAACTGGGAACAAGCACCATCACCCTTGAGAGCTGGACATTTGTCGAACCCACAACCATGTCACCTCTCTTTCTTAATGGACCCAGAGAGAGGTGGTCATTTCATTAAGGGCAGGATAATTTGTCAGAAAAGGTAGTAACTGGTGCAGAGATAATGTTACAGGCCTGAACCAACACTCATTGAGGAACTTTGCACTGCTAAAGGCACGAACAGCCACCACGGGATGCAACTGCTGTTGTTTTCTTTGATAACAAGAAAAGATGGTTCTCATTATGTGATGGCTTCACAGGCCAGTCCTCCTCCAAGTCACATCGTTAAATAAAACCACCAGTATTCTAATAAAAGCCAATATTTAGCCCTGGGAGACTTTTGAGAGCTTGAAGGAATTTCATGCTTGTGCTGCTGCTCTTCCTGCTTCAGTTCCCGCACGAGAGCATCCCACTCCCTTCTTCTAACCCCACCCAAAACATAGTCTAACAGCAGCATGCTGAAATTCAATAAACAGTGTTTCAGGAATTGGGAGACTAACTTCTATGGCAGATGCTGTATTTAGCTATGGAAGGCTGCTACTTTGTGAAACAGCAGTATCACTTCAGGAAACAGCTCTCCCCGACTCTGAGCTGCACAATTTCCAGCCATATAACTCAGGGGTTAACTGTTTAAATCAATCCATCATTCTGTTTGCCAATACAAATTATGATGTAGGACTTGACCCAAAACAAAGAAGTGTCCCGTGTCAATCAGAACCTGGATAAGGCCTGTTTTTAATTTAAAAAGTGTTAACAAAACTGAAGGTTAAAAGGAAGAAGAGCTAGACTTCTCTCAATGTAGAGCAGGTGACAGAAGGTTGGAAGAGATCTTTGTCTACTCATGTAATTAACATCTAATAAGTTTTCTAAAATGCTATAAATCAAGACACATTTCAGGCTACAGCTGCATCTCTTTAAATTGCGGCCACTTAACTCCGTGCACTTCGCCAAACCACTTACATGTTTTTATCCTCCAAACAATTGTTATCATGATGATTAATTCTTTTTTAAAAGAAAGAAAAAAGAATCCTACCTTTGCAGAGTCATGTTCAAACTGCCTGTACATGCCTTGATCTTGTTTTGTGCTTCTAGATGAGTCATCCCATCCGTACTTATCCCATCAATGGTGAGAACCACATCACCTATCCCCACGTGTGCTCGGGCTGCCTTGCCACCGTCGTTAAGCTGAAATATCACCAAAATAGTAAATGAGAAACTCGGATCATTTATGTTTATATTCTCTGAATCCAGGACCACAATATCTTACAGTGTTGTTTCATAGAAAGAAAAAAAAAGGTGTCTTTTCTTTATGTGAAAGCTGCTGTACTATCTTTCTGTCTGCTGAAGCAATATTTATAGGATCTTGTTCTTATTTCACTTGAATGAAAGGAAAAGCACTACACAGTACTGTCTGTTTTTCAAAATCAAACTCCACTTCTACTTTATTGACTGGAAGCTGTGCACAGGCACCAAGAGACGTAAGCAAGGACAGGCACACATAGCTTTCTGGATGCCAAGTTCCAGCCTCTTATCTCTTCATATACAAACTTTTTTCACAAGAGGAGAGAGGAAGACTGTAATTGAGCTTTTCCTACTCTAGATTTTTCATCTAAACAACCCCTTCAAAGTTTATGTATTTGTCAATGGTTGATCACGTGCATGGAAGACTTCATTGCCAGTGAAGCAGACTTTCCTCTAGCTGCAACTACTAGAAAGTCAAAAGTTCACCATCACATACAGATCGGTTACAGGACTTTGTTTTGCCTCTCTCTGTGGGGTTATAGCCCCCAGCAACCCGCAGTCTATTCAGACCAGAAAAAGAAAGGCCTCTTGCGCAGTCTGCCTCTTTGATCAAGGTCACTGGCAAAGTTCAGCTCAATTGCCTTTGGTCCACTTGAACGAAATAGTTTCGCAATAGAAACTTTTGTAAAGTTCACATTATTGACCTCGATTGAACAAAAAATTGATCTTTTAATCTGATGCCACTTAATCTCAACTAGCTTCATTCCCGAGAACAGCAATGGAAATAAAGCAACACATGGTAAGATCTATACACTGATTTATATACCTTGTTCTCAATCTGCTGATCACCTTATAGCTGGCTACAGAGAGCAGTTGAAGTCCCAAATGGTTCACATTTCCTCTGTTTCCAGATGTATTTCCTGCCTTAAAGCAGAGAAGTTGTAGCTGCTTGCGCTGTGCATACAAAACCTCACAACTCTTCACTCTGCCTGCAAGCATGAGACTATTCCTTGAAGAAAGTTCTGTTCGTTTTAGGGAGGTGCTGCAAAAAGCTGAATTACTTCATCTTTATTTCCAAAAGTGGAGTTCACCTTGGTTTAGTTCATTCAGTAGAGATCAAGAATTTTTGTATTTCCTTTTGACCAATCACAAAGTACAGTTCCCACACTATTCACTTCAACAGGTGAAGTGAGGCAGGTCTTGAAAACTGCCTATGGCAAAGGGGCAGAAAATGTGAAACATTAGAGACTCAGTCTTTGCATTTGTGTACAAACAGCCACTTGACAGTAAACCTGTGGAAAGTGTCCCTGCGATGGTTAAGGCTTTCCCAAAATCTCAGAGACTCTAGTCCATGACAGCTGTGACACACATATTGGACAGCATCTCAAGACAAATACTTTAACAGAGGAAAAACTACTGCTGAATGCTACAAGACAAATGCACATGCAATACTTCAGAATGTGTAATTTGATGATACGTAGACTGAAAGCAGGAAATTTAACATTCGGTGGATCATGGCTGGCAATTTTCAACATCAATCTATATGCCACAGATATCTGCAGTAGTGATCTTTAGCAACTAAAAACAATAGCCCACAAAATCAAACAAAACCAGAAAAATCCTTCCGTTCAGTGTCAATCCTATTCTACCAAATACATTATTCCAGTGAAAGGGGTGGACTGAGGTGTAGACGACTCATCATCTCTCTGATTCAAAACAGCAGCCAGTCCCTCAGCATTACAGGTCAACAGAGCAATTTTACCCAGAGCTGAAACTGAGGGGTGCCAACACAGGAAAGTTAGCAGAGCAAGTCCCATGTAGGGAAGAAAAGTAAAAGAAAAACAGAAATGCATTAATTTCAGGAAAAAAAAACTTCCTGACTTGCTAAATTAATCAGAATTATAGCTTGTACAGTGCATCATTTTACAAAAAGTTTCAACAACAAAGCCAAAATCTCATGTTTATACCCAAGTTCTGAGCTAAGAGGTTACTGGTTACTACAAAACACAAATTAGGGAACCCTACAAGCATATAGAAAGCTGTGACCAACACAGCTATTTTTAGGGAAGCTCCTCAAACCTTTGGGTGAGGGTAGGAACCTGCCATAAACAGATCCCTAAACCGATACATTACGGCATGCTGACATTTGTCAGCAAGGTCTGGAAAAGGGAAAGGAACGTAAGGGCGCTAAAAGCTAAAGGTCAAACGGATCACGGTGCTTTGTGATTGGACTGACAAAGTGAATAAAATCTAGCTTTCTCCAAACATACGCAAATATGCATGATGTTCACATATCATAATTCATGACCAAAAAAGCAACAAACACGTGTTCACCAGTGAGACTTCAAAAGCAGGCTTCAGAGTCACTACTTCCATGGGGAGCAGGGGGGACCTTAACATCCAAAGAACTATAAAATAAAACTAATTAAAAATTTTAAAATCACTTTTTTGTTTGATTCTGATGGCAAACACACAACTAATCACCTGACTTTAAAGAGGTCACTTTTAAACTGTTGCCTACTGGGGATGAATCTCTTTGCAAGTGCACATGGGAGACAGCTGTAAAATCATTTCAGCAAAATCCCTGGCTGAAAATGCCTGAAAAATATCGCTGGGAAATGCACACTGAAGATGGGGGGAGGAAAGGCATTCAGGTCTTGAGAAGCATGACGAGCTCCTGGCTATGTCGTGCAGGCAGGGGACTGCACCTGCCTTACAGGTGAGGCTGCCACAGGCACACCTGAAACAAATCCAAATTACTGGACGAGAGTGTGAAGAACTGCATATGCGAAGGGATGCCAGAGCCATAATCTCCTTATCTAGATACAGCAAATAACAGTTCCAAGCAACACCTACTGATCTGGGATAAGAGACAATAAGAGACCTGACTAATCAAGAGAGGTGAGGTTGGTCCTTCTAGGAAATCCCAGCTGGAGCACGAGTCTTTGCTGGGAGTAGCAGTCAGCACCCTTGACTTGTGAAGCGCCTACAACAAAGTGGGACTGAAGCCACAAGGGCAGAGTTTTACCACAGATACAAGAGGAATATCATCTCCAGAAAAGCTATAATAAAAATAATCAAACATGTACACTGAACACAGCAGGAGGAATCAGAACACTCAAAATAATAAAGGATCTTTTCCACACTGCAGACACATTTATACTCCAGAAGCCTCAGTTTTGACACCTCTCAGATTCTGTAATTGTGTTTTACCATTATAAACAATGAATTCATATATATACTCTTAGGATTATGTATGCAAATCTGTGTACATAATTGAACCAAGACTGAAAGAAAGGTTCCCCATATTCCTTGACACAATTGAAATTAACACCATTTATTTCATTTTTTTTCACCTAGATTTTGAAAAACCCAACAGAAGATATAAAAAAAAATATAGGTGCTAGGAAGATACCATTTCAAGATCGTGAAATGGTAGTTATAAATCATTACTACTTTTATACCACTTTTTTTTTTGGTCCTGCATGAGTGATTTTTGTCCTTAAACTGTAAGTTTACCCTTAGCTTAGTAATATTATCTGGTATCAGTCACCAGTGAACCACACTGTTACATATGCTTAAATAGCAAAAGACTAGTAAACTGATGGACAAAAGCAAAAATATACATAATGGTTAATTTCTAGTAGGAAAAAAGCATATCCTTAAAACATATTTAATTAACATACATGTGCAAACAAATGGAATCAATGCAACAAGACACATGTACAGAAGAGTACACCATTAAAATTATAAAATTGGCTACCTATGAATCTAACTTCCAAGCACCACAAATATTCTTCAGATCCTTGCTGGATCTGTTTCAAATCTGTATTTACAGCATGAAACAAGACTTAAAATCAAGCATGAATTACAGCAACAAAAAGGTAGGATGTTTGGGGTTTTTTTTAATGTTAATCAGCAGTCTTTAAAGCTACAAAATTGCCTCACGCTTAATTCCATGTCTCTCTACCTCGAGAAGCTCCTTTGCATGGTCAGGCACCTGCCAAGGCCAATCACACCCGCAGTCCCCAGCACCAAACCTCTTCTCAGCCCCTCAGCAGCAATCGACTCCATGGCCGAAAGCCAAAAGCCAGCCTATGCCATCCAGAGATGCTCAGGACACTTTCTAATAAACATAAATAAAATCACCCATCTAATACTAGATTCCAGGTTTGTTTGACACACACACAAAAAAATTTTTGTTGTTGTTCTTGTTTTAAACTTTAGAATTCCAAAATTGCAAGTATTGTTCTAAAATACATTCCAGATGAAGATAAAAGTAAACCAGTTCTTGATCCAGGATGAAATTCAAAAGCAATAGCATAAAAAGTAATCTCAGCATAGCTCTATGCCTCAGGTTTTTAAAAGCAAACAGCCCAAAACGCACTGGAATATAACCATTTTCTTGAGCTAGTATTTAGCCAGTCTATTATTTCATTTTGCAATAACCAACATTAAAAAACATCAAGAAAAATAGCTTTATTACTGTTACTTTCAAGCTTTAATCAGATATTTTAAAAGACCCCTTCCAGGAAAACTGCAGGTGTGCATATACATGTGCATCTATCTCTGAGTCAATGTAATAAGAAATTAGTTAAGCTACAAATTAACATATAACCATCTATTTTTCCTCACCTGACTAAGAAGAAAAATTGATAAGCATCTCTTCTTTGGGCCATCATTATTTAGCCTTTATGCAGCAATAAAAGAAATACTTAAACTGCAGTTACTCGTAATACAAAGATCTATTTGACTGGAGATGGAGGCTGAGTGTTATCTTTTCCATGCCATCTGCCTTGAATCAATCTTAGCTGCAACTGGTTCGTGTGATAGTGCATCACAACTGCTCTCCCGAAGAGACTATTTCACAGTCTGGCAGTAAATAATTGTCCCCTCGTCACACAAGCATCCTTCAAAGTCATCTGAAACTTTCTCTCACAATG